GAAGCTGTTTATATGTTAAAAGAAGTACTTAAACTTACCAGCTTTTAGTGACCTTTCATAGATTTGACTATGGAAAAATTTACATCCATCAAGATCTTACCTCCCATAGCATGCATTCCTTAGACTTTTTTAAATGTGTCTTTTCTTAAGTAGTATTAAAATTACACACAAGATATAAAATAGTCTTATGGGTCAGGTCAATCATTTTGGAAATGTTCTCAAGGAATTACCAAAATCTATTTGTGCAGCTATATAACAACTACAATTAAGCTTTGGTGGGGAAAGAAAAAGAACATATGCTTAGCAAAACCCAGGTACTTTTAATGCAATGCCTTTGTGTCTAAAATTTTGAAAATTAAAGAGAGACAGTGAAGTATCTATAGAACAATCATTCTTCCATCTACATTCAAGAAGTCAGTGTACAATGCACTAGAAGATGTGATAGAGAGAGTCATCCTGGAACATCTGAGTCAGAAAATTGGAAATGTTGATACGGTTCTGATGAAGTCACTGTCCTTCTTCATGCCCTTAGATGCTTTGTCTATTTGCTTGCTTTGCCTCTATAGACAGGAGGATATATTGTTTTAAGAGGACTATGAAAGGTACAAGAAAGTTAAGACGTTTCTAGATTTTGAAGTTACTGTGTCACATGAACACTAAGCATGTGAAAGTTTGAAGAAACACAGGGTAAATAAACCATATAATTTGTGTTGCATGTGTCTTGAGCAGTGCTTCTTCAAATTTGATGTGGCTAGAAATTATGTTGGGTGGAGGCCGTAATAATTAAAATGCATGTTCCTAGTTGTAGCCCCAATCTCAAAATTTGTGGACTCTACATTTTTAATAAGCACCCCAGTTGATTTTAGAGTAGGTCCAGAGAAAATACTTGGAAAACCTTAAGATAGCAAGAGTGTTATAGCATGTGGATTGAATTCATTCAGAACTGAAAATCACCAAAGAAAAATTAGAGAAGTTTGATCTTGATTCATTTTTATTGTGACTTTACTCTTATTTTTTCTGTGATGAACTTCCTTCAGATCTCTGCTTAAATATCATCTTACAGGTGAAGGCTTCCCCGTATATAAGATTGCAATTCATTCATTTCCCAGTCTTTCCTGTCATTGTCATTTACTTCTCATAGCACAGATTACCATCCAGCATATTATATATTTATGTGTTTATGTCTCTCTCCCTGCCCTCTTCACTAGAATTAAGTCTATGAAGCAAGAGTTTTGTTTTGTTCAATTGTTCAATGCTGCATCCTTGGTGATTCAAATGGTACCTGGAATGTAATAGGTGTTTACTAAGTGATTGTAATTTACTATAGGGAGATATAGACTTGTTGTTTGTTTGGTTTTTTGCTTGCTTGTTTTTACATGTTTTTCAAGAATAGAGTATCCCTTCCAAAAGTTTTCAAGTCGATGCTGTTTTAATATTTTAAGTGTCAATGATATTGACAGCTTTGTAAATGAATTTTCTTAAGCACACTTGTCCCATTTGGCTGAGAATTGTTTGTTTCCTTAGTTTAATGCATTTCTTAAATCTGCTGCTATAGGCTAGTGCACAGCTTGCCTATTTTCCTCTTGCTCATGTCATTATGGTTTGTTACTCTCTGTTGCGCTCACCATTTCCTGTTATTGATTTCCTGTAAATTCCTCATAACATGTCTTTTTTTCCCTCATAACACGTCTTGTAGCAGAGTGCATTTGAGAAAAGTATCTAAAAATTATAACAAATATTTTGCAAGTGGTTTTGCAGCAGGTTTTTTAGCCGGTTTTTTTTCTTGTTTAGAGTTCATTCATCATTGATATTTGCTTCATGTTTCCCATTGCTCATGCTTTTTCCTTAAGCAACTAGTCTAGATACTAAGATTCCTCTAATTTGTTTATTCTGTTTATTTTCCTAATCTTCAAATGTTTAAATAGTTGACCTCAGTTCACAGACCTATATATGTTGGTAACTAGACATGAATGCTCACACATGAATGTGTCTGTCCTGTAGTTTCCAGAATGTAGCGTGAAACACAAGATTGAGTGGTGCATTTTGGAACCTATAATAATTGTCACATGGATGCTTCTTAAAATTTCACAAGGACAAGAAGAGAAGTATGGAATAAGATCCAAGTGATGAGGGATGAAGAAGGTAGAAGATAAAATTAAAGTTAACAATGGCATGGATTAAAAGTAGAATAAGCATTCCTCACCTTTATACTTTTATATATAGTTTCTTTAAGGAATAAAAAAGAAAGAGATACCCAAACAATTAAGGTCATGTTATATTTCTTTTTTAATGCTATTTTTTGTTGTAACCTGTTATGAACTCTAAATTTGAAATATTAATCCTATATTGGTTTATAAAGAGATTTAACTTTAACTCATTCATTACTAAAAGAAGTGAACTGGATTCAGAAAACTATTATCTCCAGTTCTTCACCCATAACTAGTTTCTATATTCATGAAATTTGTATTCCCATACCCTTATTGTGAGATTTCAAAGAAAATTTATTTTCTATAAAGTGTTTTGAGCTCTTATGAACAAGTACCCTGATAGAATATAGCATAGCTTTATGATACAACATTGTAGTTATACTAAGGCTTTCTTAGAAAGTCACAGATTGAAATGAAAATTTCAACAAAACCAGATAGAATCTCATAGGACAGAGGAAGAAAACTATTTTAAAAAGAAGGAAAAGAAAACAAGTTGAAGCACCATTCCCTTCTATGACCCTCTGCAGATCTATCCCTCCTATAGAACCACATTAAGACCTACTTAATTCATGAAACTTGATCTAACATGAGCCATAATGCTCCTTATTTCTCCATTAAACAGTATATTATGACTAGTGACACTTATAAAAATATGTCTCTTTATTGTTATATAAATATTCCACATGTGTGTTCCTCATCAACTTCTATAGGATTTTTACCTTTTTCAGGGAAAGGAGAGCTTTTATGCTCTAAGAGCATAGTTTATAGGTATGAGCATTTGGCAAGAAGTAACATACCTTGGATATGTGGTCTTTGAGGGATTTTTGGTAATACAGTTAAAATTTTGGAATTAGTCAAATGTCCTAATTAAAATTAAAATTAAAAATAAAATTGGGTTGGATTTCACAAATTTTAAAATCACTATTTTTAATGTTTATTTCTGATGAAATTCTAGAATGGACCCAGCAAACAGCATTTAGAAAGACAACACTGCACAAAGAACCTGCCTAGCCTTTTAAAGAAGTTGTTTTGCTAGATATACCTCAGTGATTATCTACTTAAAGACAAGACTGAGGGTGGGAGCTGGAGGTCGCAGAGGGAGCATGTCCACTTATGGAACAGAGCCAGTAGCTTGTTTCAGGATTATAACTTTTATCTGCCTTGGCCTATTCATCATTTTTATTAGTGACTTGATAGGATGAGAACATATTTACTATCTTTGTTTCTTAATCCTGTAATGATTTAAAAAGTTTTGAGTCAATAGTGAATGTATGTCAAAATCAAAATTCAGCAAGTGGTCTCCTAGGACACTTCAATGTGTAAGTAATCAAGCTAAGGAAGATCTGATAGCTTGCATCATTAGGAATATGGCACCTAAAGGGGAGGTGCAATATGACCACTTTGTTCTGCACAGGTAGGATACACATGGATGGTTTCCCTAAACACACTTTAGAAGTGTGTGCTCCAGGAAATAAGTGGTGTGGAGAATGAGAGAACTTATAACATTGTGAACAATTGAAAAAAACAAAACAAAACAAAACAAAAACACTTTGCTGTGGTGTAGATGTGGTCACATCTGCATTTTCTCTAGTTGATTTCAGAAGAATAAGATGGTCTTCAAGAAATAACAACAGCTCTATTGGGATTTTACCATTTTTACATTTTAAGCTTATAGGAATGAAATGATTAGACTTTGCATTTCTTTCCAAATTCAAAAGAATATCCCATTTTATGCTTCCATCTCCATCTTCACTTAGTAGGTATAATTATTATCATTAAGAAGACATACAAAAAGGTTATGAAATAGTGGATCTGGTTTAATTAGTTCATGCTAATTGTGAAGTACACCCCAAGAAGGCAACCATGAATGACTTGCTAGGGAGAGGGGGCACATTGGGGCAGAGGAGCTTGCATATGAGGTACAAATTTGTACTTAAAATCCCTTTTGGGCAGCCCCGGTGGCTTAGAGGTTTAGCGATGCCTTCAGCCCAGGGTGTGATCCTGGAGACCCAGGATCAAGTCCCATGTCGGGCTCCCTGCATGGAGCCTACCTCTCCCTCTGCCTGTCTCTCTCTCTCTGTCTCTCTCTCTCTAATAAATAAATAAAATCTTTTTAAAAAAATCCCTTTCAATGACATATATATTTTCCATACTTTAAGGGAAAACCAACTCAGAGAATGCTGTGAGGTGCATCGATTTTAATTTCATTCATTGTCATTATTGAATAAAATATTCCTTTTTTTAAAAAAAATACAACTATACATAATAAATCCATTTTTAGAAAAAAAAAAGCAGCTATTTCAAGCCAACACTCTGGAAATGCAACTATCTCTTGCCCCCAGGAAGGTGACCAACTGAAGGTTGATGAGGATGGCAGTGGTGATGTTTGTACCTGTGCATAATATAGAATGTTTCTCTGTGATTTAAATTTTGTAGATATTTTGGTCTTCTGAAAAGAAATAATCCAGCAATTAATGTTTTATAGATTAAAAACTGAAATAGAAATTATCAGATGTTGGACCTTGTGCTATAAAAAAGGTTCACTTTCACTTTTCAAAAAAAAACCCTAAATATAGGTTGTGATGTTTATAATAAATGTATTGTCTTTATGACTAGAATTTCGTAAAATGCATCACCAAATCTATGAAAAAGGACATACGAAATTTTTATGCAAAAAAAATAGTATCACACTGCAAGATAAGAAATCTGCCATTCTGTTTGGATTTCGCATAAACCTTCCATTTTTGTTGTATGTATTCAAGAGACATTTATTCTTTCTCTGCTTATTTTTAGGGTACTTTGAATCCCTATTGTGTGTTATGGGATGACTCAAAAACGTAAGTGACAGATGTTTTCTTATATTACTTTGGGTTAAATATTCAAAGCACATTAAGTTATTTCAGCTGCCTGATAGTCAACAAGAATATGATAAGTTAGTGGGATGTGAGTTACACTTAGAAAACATTCTCCTTTTTGAATCTTCAGAACAGGATGATGAATGTGTTTGTGTGTGATGATGCCATCAGATTATGTCCCAAGATAGGATTGCATTACCTAATATGTAAGGCACATTGCAATGCAAATTCCATCAGGATTTTTTAAAAGCTCTAATATTTTAAAATCATAGAAGCTCAAATTCTATTGCAACATTTTGCCCTAGTCATTCAGCTCAGCATTGCAGAATAAAATAGCAATCTCCATGGTCATTTAGCCAATACATTACTTCCATGACCTTGAATCTATTATCAGAGTAATGCGCTATTCATATGGCCCTTCCAAATTCTTTTGTCATAAAAACATTAACTAACGTTTAATTTTCTTATTCATATATTTTATGAATTCATGAAGACAATAGAAAACAATTGCAATAAATAAGGATTAATAATTCTTCAATGCATTCCTTTGTATAAGTAATTGCAATATATCTTCTCAAAACTACCTTACTCTCATTGGTAATACTATGAGATTTTAAGAAAGATCTCACAGAGCAAAAAAAACCCTGATTAAGTGCTAGACTCTTACACTTTAAATACTCATGTACATTTATTTCCAGATTATACAACCTTGTTTTGTGTGGAGGGGAGATAAATATCAATCATCCCAAAGGCTAATAGTGCCATGTAGATGCTGTCAGATAGAGTACCACGTTGTTGAGTTCTAGGTATTCTGTGATTCCCCAGTGTTCTTAACCCTAAATCTGATCTACAGCTGAGGTTTTATTGAGTCACTTACCTCTCACCAGTAGTTACTGGAGAGTCTAAACGAAGGACATAACTAGAATTCTAGGTAAAGAACAAACCTACTGTCAGTATGGTTTTCTAGGGTACTGATAGATTTTACATTACAGTATTTATTTGTATGATGAATCAGTGATATTGGGCATATTATTTGCTATAGATTCTGATATCCTAGGGATCCTTTTTTCCAAGGAACTTTAGTGCCATAAGGAGAATCCTAACTTGCCCTCGTGATAACATGAGCTGGATGCCCTCACTGATGTCATTATTTTTTTCTTTTTTAAATATAATACAGAAATCCAGAATAGTAAAATTTCTGCAAGCTTTGTTCTTTACCAATAGCCAGAGAAGACTCTAATAGTATATTCTGAGCCCCTGTTTAATATGTTGTATAGCCAAGGGAAGAATGCAATGCTACAAAAATCTAATTAAATATTTTGTACTTAAGAAAAATATACCATCTTAAATTCCTGATTATAGCTACTTGAATATCTTCATGAATAATAACCGACTTGTATTTAGTTTTATTATATTTTTAATGGTGGAATGTGCTTCAAACAGAGGAAGTCTTAGTTATTCCTTTTTTTTAATTTTTATTTATTTATGATAGTCACAGAGAGAGAGAGAGGCAGAGACACAGGCAAAGGGAGAAGCAGGCTCCATGCACCGGGAGCCCGACGTGGGATTCGATCCCGGGTCTCCCGGATCGCGCCCTGGGCCAAAGGCAGGCGCCAAACCGCTGCGCCACCCAGGGATCCCAGTTTTAGTTATTCCTAAGGACCTTTGGAACTGTTAAAGGAATACTATGAGAAGAAACAGCATTCCCCTATTGTGTGACTCTTGGTTTCCTTTTACAGAATATCTAAGGTTTTAAGTTCATAAAAATATCAGTGTTTGAGGTCAGCACTAATTTGGGGAATCAATCATACTCTTTTCCAACATCTGCTAAAACATCATTCCCATCCATGACAAACAAACAAATAAACAAAACCCCCATGTCTTGCCTTTATAAAATTCAACTTTTAAGTTGTCCTTAAAGAAAACTATTCAGTCAGCGGTGTGGTTAGCTGCCTTTCAAAGTAGATTACCTGAAGAGATCAGTGTAGTTCATGTTTCCTTGATGTACCTGAAAAGTAATCAAAACTGACAGAACTTCTGTCCCATCACACCTTTTACCAGAGTGTTTTATCATTAGATTGTTTTCTGGATGAGTTTTAAACAATGAAGGTTAAAACAACTTTGTTTTCCTCACATCAGTTTTATTTTGATCATGCTTATCTGATCATGCTTATCTGTATACATAATAGCTTTACCAATGCAATCATTTCAACTTTGAGTATAAGTGCTCTAAGTATAGGTAGTAGTGAAGAGATACGGCTTCTACTTTTTATAAGGAAAAGAGTTGACTTAAATGATTTTTTCAAGATTGAAGTCATAGAGTTGAAATTAGAAGTTGTCTTAAAATTTTAGTTTATGGGGATCCCTGGGTGGCGCAGCGGTATGGCGCCTGCCTTTGGCCCAGGGCGCGATCCTGGAGACCCGGGATCGAATCCCACGTCGGGCTCCCGGTGCATGGAGCCTGCTTCTCCCTCTGCCTGTGTCTATGCCTCTCTCTCTCTCTCTGTAACTATCATAAACAAATAAAAAAAAAAATTTATAAAAAAAAAAAAAATTTTAGTTTATGTCATCAGATTGTCTTACCTTTTTCTTTGAGGCATAATTGATATATAACACTATATTTGTCTTAGGTGTACAACACATTCATCTGATATTTGTATATATTGGAAAATGATCACCACAATAAGTCTAGTTAACATCCATCACCACACAGTTACGTTTTTTTTCTTGCGATGAGAACTTCAATGATTTACTCTCTTAACGACATTCAAATATGCAACAGTGTTATTAACCATCGTTATCATGCTCTAAATTATACCTCCATGACTTGTTTATTGTATAACTGGAAGTTTCTAGCTTTTGACCTCCTTCACTCATCTTGCCCACTACTCCCTTCTGGCAATACTCAATTGCCTTTAATTTTTTAAATTAATTTTTGATAACAAAATTAATACCCAAGTATCTTTTACTTATAAAATTTTAAAACATAACTACTGAGGCAAAAGTCCCCATTAATCACCACCACCTTGATTATCTACAGCCACTCATCTCCCCAAGATCACTTCTAGCTATAATTTGTTATGTATAATTTCAGGCATCCAGTTATGCATTGACATATGTATGCAGCCTTAGAAATTAATACTATTTTTACATAGGTACTATGATACAGTATGTAACATTGGCATCTTCAGTTTTTAATTCTATAATATATTGTGGAAATTTTAAAACTTTACTACGTATGTTATGCTTTTTTGTATGAGCCTCATTTTATAGGTATATCATAATTGATTTAGTATTCTTAATATTGATGGTATTGAGGAAATTTTCAATTTATTTTATTAAATGAACTGTACTTCCGTGTACCTCTTTGAACATTCTGTCTTGAGGTTGTCTCTGACCATCTAGTTCAAAGTGGATGGTCTGTTGTTCCCTTTATACCAGCCTATTTTATATTCTTCACATTATTTATTTCTTATTTATTTTTGTTTGCTTTTATCTGTCTCCCCCACTAGGAAGTAAGTGCCATGAGAGAGATATTTTATCTTTCTTATTCGCCACTGCACTCTTAATGCCCAGAAGATACACACATAGTATATATTCAACAAGTACTTCAACTGGTTAGTTTTGCACAAGCATAAATATTTGAATAGTTCTCAGGTACTGTTTCTCTTTAAGAATTATTTCCATTTATGTTTTATCTTATTAGTTCTAGCAACAATGCGACCTAACATTGGAAGTTTGAAGGGAGAATGCTTCAGCTTGGTACAATACTGAGGTCCATATAAACAATCAATTTTATTTCTAATGATAATCTATTACTGTGATAATCCCAAACAAAGACATTTTTATTTCACTCTGATTGGGTACAATAGTTTCAGAAAATTTCAAAATATATTTTTATCTCACTTTGGCTAGCTAATTAACAGGATGCAGAAGATGTTTCATTATGGATGACCCATGAAATAAATTGAAAGTACTTTCTCACTTCAGAAATAGGCTTTTTTGGCTAGGAGAAGTGGTTTTTTCCTTTTTTTAATGTTTAAACATTTTATTTTTTTTATTTTTTTTATTTTTATTTATTTATGATAGTCACAGAGAGAGAGAGAGAGGCAGAGACATAGGCAGAGGGAGAAGCAGGCTCCACGCACCGGGAGCCCGACGTGGGATTCGATCCCGGGTCTCCAGGATCGCGCCCTGGGCCAAAGGCAGGCGCCAAACCGCTGCGCCACCCAGGGATCCCTATGTTTAAACATTTTCTGGGCAGCCCAGGTGGCTCAGCAGTTTAGAGCTGCCTTCAGCCCAGGGCATGATCCTGGAGACCCAGGATCGAATCCCACGTCAGGCTCTCTGCATGGAGCCTGCTTCTCCCTCTGCCTGTGTCTCTGCCTCTCTCTCTCTCTCTCTCTCTCTCTCTCTCTCTCTCTGTGTGTGTGTGTTCTCATGAATAAGTAAATAAAATCTTAAATAAATAAATAAATAAATAAATAAATAAATAAATAAATAGCATTTTCTTTAATATAGCTTACAAAGTTATCATTTGGGTAATAATTTGTGCCTTCTTTGGGATACTTTAAATTTGTATTTTGAGTATCATGTGTGATGACTACATTCCCTAGAAAACCCATAATCCTTTGTTTTAATTAACCTGTGGTCTTTCTCCATGGGTCTTTTTTTTTTTTAATTTTTTTTTAAATTTTTATTTATTTATGATAGAGAGAGAGAGAGAGACATAGGCAGAGGGAGAAGCAGGCTCCATGCACCGGGAGCCTGACGTGGGATTCGATCCCGGGTCTCCAGGATCGCGCCCTGGGCCAAAGGCAGGCGCTAAACCGCTGCACCACCCAGGGATCCCTCCATGGGTCTTAATAGCACCATCTGACGCTATCAGGTCTGTGAAGGATCATGTTTGTTTTCAGAAAATGTTTCAGAGTGTCAATCATGTGAATTTCAATTATGATTTCTTAACTATTGCTAAACAGTTT